TAGGGCTACGAACGTTTCGAGAATAAGGGCCCTGGTCTCAAAGTCAAACTGTCTGACTAGTACGATTTCATGCTCAAATCAGGTTTCGTGATCAACTCAGAACTCACATTCGGTTATTCAAAATCTGAGTACGTTTGCATGATCAACATGAGCATACCTATGATTTCAAGCATGCTTTGGATCCTTTCCACCTTTATAAACACGGGCACGCCCACAGTTGCCATTGTAAATAAGCAGTCGACACCATCCGGATCGTTTTCTTACCTTTCTTGACGGAAGAGTTCCAAACTGCCGCTTGTATCATAAACAAAAACTACATTGAGCATACTCAAGTGTGAATTGTACTTTTATAACCCCTGCTTGAGTACAAAACTCCACTGAGCGCGAATTTGAGCATGAAATTGAGTTGAGCACGAAATATATTATATAACCTCCCGGCCATGTCTCATCGCGACAGCTCTGATTGGTCGTGCAAGGGTCTTCGGGCGTCCGCTTCATTTTAGCGACCCATGCGTACCTATGCGTTTTCGGGATGGAAGTGTAAAGGCACGATGTGGTATCATTACTCATTGAAGAACACATGTTATCAGTGTTAACGACAATGGCTTGCGCGACCTCGTCTGTATCTACACTGCAAAAGCGGGCACTTAACGTCATGTTCGTCCTAATGCTTGCAACATACCCGTGAAGATCCGGGTTAGAATTGATCTTCGGTAACCCATGCTTGTCGTAAGAGGCGACTATCGGGATCGGGTGGTAAGACTCGCTGGCTTGATCGATGCTCATGCTGTTGATCACTGGATTGTCTGATCCAGACTCGATAATTTACAGACCGCCGCCATAATAGCTGGGATATAGCTGTGTGCGACGTATAATTAAACTTTCTGAATCATATTGCTGGAATTGTGGCATTGCTTAAAGCGGAGTAAAATCATACCCACTCTCTCCAAAACACTCTGATGAATTATAGTCCCAAACATTTTTAAATCATGTTAAATATATAATTCGAACTGTTTTCATTTCAATTTTCTTAAACAGACATTGTTAATAATAGCGATCACGGGTTAATTTGTACAAAGCTCGAATATTTACAGGCCTAAATCATGCAGGTGAAATATTGTTCAACGGTGTCAATGAACAAAAAAAAACAACAACAACAAAAAACAAACAAAAAAAACCCCCAAAACAAACAACAACAAAACCCAAGAGAAAAAAAACCCCGAAACATCGTAAATCGATTAACGAATTGTTTGCATGACATAGAAATATCACTAACTTTATTACAATTTCGAAAAAACAAAGCATTGATGTCACATAAAATGTTGCAAACAAATGTTTTAGGAAGTTCATGAACATTTGAATCAGAATAGCTCTTCTACTCACAAGTAGGTAAATCAGAATAACTCTTTTACTCACAAGCTTCTCACATGTATCAGTTTGTGAGAAAGAGAGTTTTTATGGATGTCAGCTTCTTTATTATGAGGAACACAACGTTAACATTTCGGAGTATATCCTTACTCCTTCATCAGGTGAGTGAATGGTATGAGGCAGAGAGCATATATACTCTTAATAAGGTAGGGGTACTTCATTTTTAATTTACGATTCAAAATATTGGGACATATATCGGAGTCTATCAATGTTGATATGATAATAATGAATGTTTTGAGAGTGCATCACCATTTGCACGTCCTTATGACCAAAGTTGTTTGTACAGAAATCGCTCTTGAAAGATGATTGGCGTATGACGTAAAATTTGTATGTGTACGATTTTCATTTTCAACCAAACCTAAATTGGCTGGAAACAAACACTAAAAACTGCGTGATGCAAGATGATTGTCAAAATTAATGGTCTATTTATTGACTTTCTTGAAAACCGTCAAAATCAAGAATGAAACTCCATGCCCGTGTATGGGGCTACTGTGTTGTGCACGTGCTTCCCATGCGTTGTGTTTAGGGGTGGTGATAAAGAGAAATGGTGGCGTGTTAATAACATGTCTGTCTTTGAAAAATTGTTAACGCTTATATTTCCTATCCAAATTGAAAGTTCAGGTTTACCTACTTTTGAAGATTATATATGTACATGAACATTATTTTGTGATTCGTGAAGATGTTTGGGAAAGATGTCTTCATGTGAAAAATAATAATGAATAAAATACCTGTAGGTATCGGAACCGTGAAGGTACGGGTTAGAATATTGGCCCTCAGTAACCCATGCTTGTCGTAAGAGGCGACTAACAGGATCGGGTGGTCAGGCTCGCTGACTTGGTTGACACATGTTATCGGTTCCCAATTGCGCAGATCGATGCTCATGCTGTTGATCACTGGATTGCCTGGTCAAGACTCGATTATTTACCGACCGCCGCCATATAGCTTGAATATTGCTGAGTGCGGCTTAAAACTCAACTCACTCACTGTAGGTATCGTCTTCCGGAGCATTCGGGTCCGACTCTAAATCTGAGAACACTTACCTTTATATCTTGATGTTTTAAGGTGGTAATTGAGGATGATTTGGTGGTAAAGAGTGTGAATCACTAAATTTGTTGCTATTGGAATATCTGTCAGGGTAGAGATTGCTTCCAGTAGAGATTGCGATCAGAGTCTCTACTGTTAGAATCTCTGATCCTACTAGCAGAGACTGCAATCGGAGTCTCTACCAGTAGAGACCCTGATTATATAGAATAACCTATACAATCGCAATCTCCGATCCTACTAGTATAGAGTGCAATCTAAGTGAATATTTAGAAAAACAAAATTTATTTTCGTATATTGTAGAATGAAATCTTCCACTGAAAAGTGCACATTGTTTGTCCAACTTGATGTTTACAAACAAAATGAACAATGTTACTTTGTTTTCATTTATGATTGTTATTGTAAAAATTCAATGTTTATTTTAGAAAATCTCACACTTCTGCTTAGAATGTAATTTTTATAATAATCTTTGTCAGGCCTTGCTCCCAAAGTATTAAAAACTCTCCATAAATGTGTACAATTGTCGTCATCTTATAATGCTTCTCTTCTTAATAATCTAGCTAAATTTGTATTTCTAGCTTTTAAGAAACGTTCACAATTTCTCAACTGAATTGATGCAATGTGGTATTTTATCGTATTTTATCTCATCTCTTATACATAATGTTCTATGTTCTTTGGCCCCTTACTGGAATAAACACAGTTTCACTGGAAACAGTGTTATATCTGAATAAAATGCATATTATTGATCAGCACAGAAAGTGTCTTTGTTGTTTGCCCACAGATCAATCGGAGTTTCTGCCATTTGAATTGGGAAATGGTACTGGTAGAATCTCCGATTGTACCAGTAGAGACTCTGATTGCAATCCCTACTAGTAGGATCGGAGATTCTACCAGTAGAGACTCTGATCGCAATCTCTACTGGTACAGACTCCGATCGCAATCTCTACGGGTAGAATCTCCAATTCTCCCAGATCGCAATCTCTACCCTGACGTATACATGGCATTGTGTATTTCCGTTTAATACATTGATTAAAACAAATTACGGTGAAACAACAAATATCATACGCCCTGGGAAAGCAATTCCCACAGCAAAATTCCCTGAAATACAATTCCAGACACTTATAAGAGGGGTACACAAAGTCCGCAGTCTAGACTAACAGTTGTCCGACTACCATTTTGTGGAAGCCGCAGTGGCTGAGCGGTCTAGGCGTCTGACGATTAGAGGATGTGGGTTTGAATTCCGGATTAGATCGGACTCAACCCCAAAAAAGTGCTAAAGTACTAAAATCTGTACTTTACTAAGAAAGTGTAATCACAAATATAACATATGTTATAAATACAATTCTTTCCTCATGATTGTCTACAAAATCCAAAAGTCTTGATATCTGTCTTCGCATGAAGTCAGTCGATGTCAGCCAATCACCTGTGATGAATCCATCCTGCCTTGATATTGCTAAAAGCGGCGAAAAGCACTCTCCCTCACCTACACGGGATCGGGTCAATAAAGCACAGCTGTCCAAAAAGTTCTTCTGGGCGAAAGAATGTCTGTGCCAGTGATTTAAACTAGTATTAAAGTACTGTCGGAAATAGAAAAAAACTGTTTTTTCACATTTATATCTACAATTTAGGTAGTTAATATGTGAAAGTGTGAAATATCTGTTGAACTAAGTTCGGCCTAACTACAGTCTCAGTGGTAGGGAGATAGGAAACGTTAAAAAAGGATTTTACTGAGGAGATATTAGTGCAGAAATGAGCAATGCGGTTTTTTCAAAGTCCGAAGCGACTTATTTGGAGCAGACCATGGCTTTATGCAAATTAGTGTGCGATGATATTGTATAACAAATGACACTTTTTGAATGTCCATTTTGAAATTAGACTTAGCTTCATAATAAACGATAGCAGACGTAAAAAATAACAACTTTAATACTGAAACTATTAAGGATATAGATACTGTTGAGTCTCATTACCACTATAAAAAGAAAAGGGTAGGAGGGGTCGTCTCAAAAGCAAAACCAGGACGGGTGTTGCTGACGGTAGTTGGGGTCGGGCTTGGGGACAGAGATATCAGCTAAGATTAGATAATCAGACATAGTCAATACACATGAAAAGCATAAAAGATATTTGAGATGACCCCTTGTGTCTGTGGGCAGCACGTGCATTCCATGCCAAGTGAGTCGACGGTCCGTCGTCATACCTGGCTGAGCGACCTAATTGCCATCTATAGTCTGATCTATTGTTTTCAGAAGCTGTTCGTATTTTTTCTAAGTTTTGCCCGATTTTACGAGTAAACATGCTTTTCTGGATATCCTATTACGCATCCCACTGAACGCCCAGTTAGGCCGATGTGGGTTATTTCGACATATGCCATTTGCAATTGTGTAAAATTTAGTGATACAGAGTAACAGCCTGAAAACAATTTTTTTTCTATTTCCGACAGTACTTTAGATCTGATGAGTCTACTTCCACAAAGCTGTGTGGCTGAATGGTGCCAGGCCATACACTTAATCGAACATGGAACTTATAATAAGGACTTAACGCTCTTTTCTTTCATTTTAAGAAAAACGGATTACCAAGTAATCCGGTTGCTGTAGCTTCAACAGGTTAATTTTCCGAGAAGCGCGACAGCCAGGAAAGTTGTGAAACTGATGCCTGGACCCAGTCGTTCCGCACTTCCGGTGGGATGGACGGGAGGGTATGTGGGAGTCTTTGGACAGTCGCATGACTGCATGGCAGCAAGGAACTTGACCATGTCCAGGTCTGGGTGCAGCCCCCTCAGGAGGTCCATCATGTACGGCCCAACCTGTTCGTTAAAACATGGATGCTGTCGGACCTCTGCAATAGCTGCGGGACATTCTCTGCGGCAGTCGCCGTAGAAGTTGCAGCTGTTGAGCACCTGAAAGACATTGTAGTACCGGTCTGTAAACCCAGACAATCATGTGATAAACAAGAAATCTATTCCCTTGGTAGCGCATTCACTCATATGCTGGAAACCGAACAATGGAGTTTGTTACCTTTGCCAGGAGTGACTTCCTGGTTGGGTGTGTGGCATTGAAGATCATATGGTATTCACAACCGTGTATAGCTCCGTTCTCTACATAACACAGCTCCAAGTCTTTCCACGTGTAACAGGAGTCATGGGTGATGCTCTTAGCTGGGTAGAATGTGAATACCCCAATACACATTTCGTCGTAGGCAAATTCTCCAAACAAGGTTGTAGACGCCCTTGATGTTGTCTTGTGAACACACGTAGTCTCAAGTACGTCTCCGGGCAAGATTTCGTAAGGCGTCTTATATCTGTAAGTGAATGAGTGAGTTAACGTAAAATTATGTCAGAGAATGTGAGTCAACTATTATATTATTAATTTACTACTTTGGTGGTATTCGTGACTTTCTGGCAAGTCCAAGGGACGTAACTCTGGTCCGTAACTTTAGTGTTGTCTTAGCGTGAGCGAGTTTAGTTTTACGCCGCTTTTAGCAATATTCCAGCAATATCACGGCGGGGGACACCAGAAATGGGTTCCACACACTGTACCCACGCAGGCAATCGAACCAGGTCTTCGGCGTGACAAGGGAACGCTTTAACCACTAGGCAACCCCACCGCCCCGTATTATCTTAGACGCCGGGCAACCTATGACCTTGGCATTTTATGTCTTCAGCGTTCGTAACGTTACGACCTGTACTAACTCTATGGTTTATCACAGGTGTACGGATGTCGTAGCGCTACGAACGTTTTGTGGATTGGGACCCAGCAGCGCATATGATGTTCATTAATCTTCAAACATGGGGGGGGGGTGTGTGTACAACTTGTGAAACCCATTTCTGGTGTCCCCCTCCGTGATATTGCTGGAATATTGCTTAAAACGGCGTAAAACCATACTCAGTCAGTCAAACAGGTGGGTGAATGAGAATGTCTAAATCCAGATTGATATCATGTTGTAAGGCAGTGTCCGACAATGTTCTCGGAACTACGTAACGCGTGATTGGTATTATGATCAATATTCCATGACGTCGGCATAAATGAAACGTATTTAGATAAAGTACAGAATTGGACCCAGGATTCATTTACACATCTCGCTGATTGGGATCTATCATTAATATACAATTTAACCGCCTGGCAATAAACAAATAGCCGATGAAACTAATTCCATTGGGAATATGAAGGGGTAAAAGAGCGGTGAAAATTACGAATGGATTACTGATAATCAGACCATCCAAGTGCTCGGGAAAATGGTAAGCATGTTTTGTCCTACCTGTAACAACCCTGGGCAAATTACGCGGAACGATCATCACAAGCACAGACACCTAGAAACATGTTCTAACCTGGGACAAAAAACGTGGTACAGTATAGATCCAGCCTGAACATATTCCAATCTGGAGCAGATAAACCGATAGGCGAAAACCCTCACCTTGCGACACAACACAGTACACGATAAAGTCTATCAGTTGCAATATGGTCGCCTCTTACAAGAGTGGGTGAGTGAGTTTAGTTTTACGCCGCATTCAGCAATATTCCAGGTATATGGCGGCGGTCTGTAAATAATCTAGTCTGACCAGACAAATCAGTTATCAACAGCATAAGCATCGATCTACGCAACTGGGATACGATGACACGTGTCAACCAAGTCATCGAGCCTGACCACCCGATCCCGTTAGTCACCTCTTACGACAAGCATGGGTTACTGAAGATCAATTCTAGCCCGGATCTTCACGGGTCTCTTACAAGAAATTGAGCACATGGAGCCACATCTATTTCCGGTTCACGCGAACTGCCATGACTTCCGGGCTCCATTTGTAAAGACAAATGTACAGGAGATAAATTATTGCTTACTCATGTATATGAGGATTGTCGTAATTGTACACGTCATCAGGAGTGAGGTCGCCGATTTTCGTTCCATTCCGGAAATGCTCCACTCTAGCAGCATAACCTAGAAACACAGTTATGGAATAGGTGGAATATATAAACTAGCTCGAATAACAACACCTGGGACGCATGTTATGACAACAATTTGAAACCAGCGCCTATCTTTAGAGTATTTGCCATGGGTACAATGTGTGATGCCCATTTCTGGTGTCCCCCGACGTTATGTTGCTGGAATATTGCTAAAAGCGGCGTAAAACCAAACTCAGTCAGATTTAGAATATTTACTCTGCGTTCAAGCCCAAGGAAAATGGGGCGGTGGGGTCCCCACCGGTTCATTGCGTAATATCGTCAAACCGAAGACCCGGGTTCGATTCCCTGAATGGCTACTATGATGCGGGCCCATTTCTGGTGTCCCCAAGTTGCAAAATTGTGCTCATTCTTGACCGCCTCCGTGGCGTAGTGAAATTCCGCCCGGACCCAACTCACCGCGTCATACGTTAAAAGAAGAAAATATGAGATCGCGGGTACACGTACGTATAAACAACTGAGTGGGTATGCAGTACTGCTGCATGGTATCTCATCAGTGGGCTAGCACTATAAAACCAGCTTCAGTCTGGACTAGTACAAGCAGCCGCACATACACATACAAATGCATGCACGTCGTCATATGAGCGAAATATTCTCAAGCACGACGTAAAACCCAATTTCACCTCACCTCACCTTCTCATTCTGTTCATGATGATACAAACAATTCCTGTTTAGCACCTTTAACTATTAGTTATGGGAGGCTCGTTACTTTGATTAGGGTTAAGGTTAGATGACACAATGCTTCATCTGTGGGGATGTGCCCGCTCCAGTATTGGACGAAACATGGCGTCAAATCACTCAATTTACTCACTGTTCACTACATTGGAGAAAACAGGGCAAGGTTAGGACGGACCAAAAATGCAAATAAACAATTCAAACATTGTTTTGTATTGGTAAGATATCTTTGCGATACGACGTAGCAGTTACAGTCCGTTTGATTTCATTTGAGACCGATGAATTGCTCACTAACACAAAATCTAATAATTGCAACAAAACCAAAATTTGCACAGTCACATGAAATCGACAGACCAACTCTGACACCCGAATAAAAAAGATGTTTAACAAACGATCATTATTTTGTATTTTCGGTATTTTCACTCGTGCTGGTAGAACAGCCAGGTGTGCGAGTTGCACGTGTGAAATTGAAATTTCACTAAACACGCGTGTTGATTACCTGGCTGTTCTACCAGCAAATGGTCCCCCCTCGTAAAATATATTTTGTGTTAGTGAGCAATTCATCGGTCTCAAATGAAGTCAAACGGACTGTATAGTTTGGCAGGAAATGCATGTGGACCCGGTTTTTTGTAAATATCTCTTCATCCAATGACCCAATCGATCTCAAACTGTGCAAGTGGATGTTTTGTCAGACAACCTAATCACACTGTAAATCACCGATTTTATGCATTTGTATTAAAGAATCTGTCTATGTAACTGTCAACAAAATAAACAGCAGACCGCAGACTGCTGGCATAGGGAGGGAGCCAATGACCTGTAACAGCGGCATATTTATTACCAGCATAGTGCAGGTGGTTCCAGCCCGTCATCAGGTACACCGGCGTCTTGATGATCTTCCTCGTGCACGCCGAGGAACACGTGGACGTGGTCACATGTCTCTGCTGCCCCGGGGGAATGTTCAGATGGATCTGACCCGTATGGACATAACTAGCATCCTCCTTCCTCAACTTCTCGGTCAGGTACAGCGTCATACCCGATGAATCCACGTAGTCCGATCGACCCTCTGGGTTGCGCCAGTGATGCTGGAAAAGGATTTAGTGACCCTTGTTATATGCAAATGCCTTGTATTTGAGGGCTAAGAACAGATATAAATTCGTAATGAGAAGGTTTAAATACGCCCCTCATTTAATAATCATATTTAACACAAACGGTATTTCTAATGATTGTAAAAACTAACTTGGCGACCAAATGTAACATAAACAGATTCAGCGCAGAAAATATTCCATAGACCATATGAGGGGATTAAACGGTTGTAATCAGCTTGAGACTTTAGTTTCCTAAAACAAAAATCACCTGTCCAAGATATTTTTATGGATTAAACTTCTTTTTTAATTTCTCCCACGACGTTTCGAGATCATTCCAGGTCCCTTCATCAGGTGAACTGATGAAGGGACCTGGAAAGGTCTCGAAACGTCGTGAGAGAAATTAAAAAAGAAGTTTAATCCATAAAAATATCTTGGACATCAATGTACAACTTCTAAATGCCACTGAAAGACAAAAATAACCTGGTTGAAAGATTTATCAAAGCTTTACTTCACTGGTCAAAAGCAGGTGTGTGCTCGTGGGGAATGAAAATGACACATTTTGACACATTTCAGACCATGTATTTAATGCAATCCTCGAGATTTTTGCCTAGCAGATTTAAAGAAAGAAGAAAGCGAATATCGTATATGCTACTTTGATGTATAAATTACGCTGGGAACGTGGATTATGTTTGAAACGTTATTTGAAGTGATATGTACCTGGGTGTTGCGGACACCGAGAATAAGCATTAGACTACTGATATGTACCTGGGTGTTGCGGACATAAGCATTAGACTACTGATATGTACCTGAGTGTTGCGGACATAAGACATATGCTAGCATTAGACTACTGATATGTACCTGGAGTGTTGCGGATTAGACTACTGATATGTACCTGATATGTGTTGCGGACATAAGGATTAGACTACTGATATGTACCTGGGTGTTGCGGACATAAGGATTAGACTACTGATATGTACCTGGGTGTTGCGGACATAAGGATTAGACTACTGATATGTACCTGGGTGTTGCGGACATTAGACTAAATATGTATTAGACTACTATGATATGTACCTGAGTGTTGCGGACATAAGCTACTTATGTACTACTGATATGTACCTGTACCTGGTGTTGCGGACATAAGCATTAGACTACTGATATGTACCTGAGTGTTGCGGACATAAGCATTAGACTACTGATATGTACCTGGTGTTGTGTTGCGGACATAAGCATTAGACTACTGATATGTACCTGGGTGTTGCGGACATAAGGGTGTTGCGGACATTAGACTACTACTGATATGTACCTGAGTGTTGCGGACATAAGATTAGACTACTGATATGTACCTGGAGATGTTGCGGACATAAGCTTAGACTACTGATATGTACCTGGGTGTTGCGGACATAAGCATTAGACTACTGATATGTACCTGGGTGTTGCGGACATAAGCATTAGACTACATATGATATGACCTGAGTGTTGCGTTGCGGACATAAGCATTAGACTACTGATATGTACCTGGGTGTTGCGGACATAAGCATTAGACTACTATATGTACCTGAGTGTTGCGGACATAAGAATTAGACTACTGATATGTACCTGAGTGTTGCGGACATAAGAATTAGATTAGACTACTGATATGTACCTGAGTGTTGCGGACATAAGGATTAGACTACTGATATGTACCTGAGTGTTGCGGACATAAGCATTAGACTACTGATATGTACCTGACTACTGATATGTACCTGAGTAACTACACATTAGACTACATAAGAATTAGACTACTGATATGTACCTGAGTGTTGCGGACATAAGCATTAGACTACTGATATGTACCTGAGTGTTGCGGACATAAGCATTAGACTACTGATATGTACCTGGGTGTTGCGGACATAAGCATTAGACTACTGATATGTACCTGGGTGTTGCGGACATAAGAATTAGACTACTGATATGTACCTGGACTACTGATATGTACCTGGTGTTGCGGACATAAGTGCCTGGGTGACATAAACATTAGACTACTGATATGTACCTGGGTGTTGCGGACATAAGCATTAGACTACTGATATGTACCTGGGTGTTGCGGACATAAGCATTAGACTACTGATATGTACCTGAGTGTTGCGGACATAAACATTAGACTACTGATATGTACCTGAGTGTTGCTGACATAAGCACTAGACTACAGTAACTGATATGTACCTGGGTATTGCGGACATAAGCACTAGCTTGTCACTGCTGCAGTCATAGCCTATCCATATACAACACTCTACCTGCATCGTCAGTCTCTTTACTCCGTTTGGTCCTCCAATCTTAAAGCCTGCATCCTTGTATACACAATGTCCCGTGATGCCTAGCGACCAGATAGCCAGGTAGATCTGGCAGCCGGCGCCCGCCATGTTGCAAATGCGGGGCGCAGTTAATGGTGCGGCTGTTGATAAACATCAGACATTATCGAGTGAACAAACAAACAGTTAATGCAGATATAGAAACAAATCCAAATCGAGCCTGAATCTGGAACCCTATAACGAACGACAATTCACCACGGCTGGACATACGAGGGCTACATATGCCCATGAATACATTATTTGCAAATTGCTTCCCTTGTCAGTGGTTTCATTCGTCCGTTTAACATGTGATTTAAACAGTATTTTATTTCCATTAATGTTTACATTTTTCATAATACACGACATAACAAAATGGAAATAGGATTAGCAAACAGGCCATATGGCCTATGTCAATGCTTCTCCGCATATAGTTCGTTATTATCTTGACTTAATTCTATGGAGCAGACATTAGGACATTAATGAATGAATCAAAACAAAATAAAAATAAAGAAAAGAAAATAAAGAACAAGATACCAAGTGCATTTTATGTTTATAGGTTGTTACTTGAATTCCGTAAAGCGGTTAGTTTCAGTTATGTAATTCTGAACCGATTTTATAAGGTTTTCATTGTCTAAAGGAGATAAATCGTCACTGCCGTGAAGTATAGTATATATGCTGAGGTGGTTAAGGACAAAGTATTTAACATATAATATCGCATAGCGGTCGTGTGTATTCACAGGTGGTAATGGAAGCATTTTTCTGGATGAGTTTAAATATTGACAACGTGTGGATAATATACTTGTAACAACTGAATCACTTGACATTTAGATGCATTGAATTCCCCACAGTGCTGCTGATACGGAGTAATGTTAACGACTCGGACATGGGATAAGTGTCCATTTAATTTACATTCTCAACTTCATGGGCAGTATTTACCAACGCCATATGCTTGGTGCTAAGTCCTATGTTGTACATCTTTCCGGTAATCTTGCTGTCTTCAAGCATTTGGAAACATGGCGTCAAATCTTGGACAATCTTACACTATCTCCTTTTAATTGTGGGCATTTCAGCAAACCAGACTGTAATATGTCACACAACTTGAGAAAGAAGAGAACATGGGCTCTGTATAACTTTCTGGGACTCCCAATTACCAAAGGCAATGGGATCCAACCTTACCAAAGGGTCCACATCCGTTCAATATGGAATGATGCATCACATTGTCGTTATCGATGAAGGGCTTGGTTGCAATAAGATGATACTCCTTTTCCGGGTCCAACATGTCCAACTCGAACGTCATGCATAGCAAGCTACTTTCGTCTGCTGGGACTTTGGTTGGCGGGAATCTCAGAGTGATATTGAACACGTCTGGAAGAATATGTAACACATTTATACAGTCACGGACTTTACGTCAAATCTATGTTCGTAAAACGCTGAAAGAATAACGATTGATGATCGTGCTACCCTATTTCATTAAAAAGTACCATGGAACAAAATACATTTCATCTTATCTAGTGATATTCAACGTGACCACGCACTTGCACTTATCGTCCTTCTTGGGGGAAAACAATATTACTTAAATCAGTTGAAGGAGCCTATATGTTAGGTTTCCTTGACAACCCATCTCTGGATTTGGTTCCTGTAAGCATGTTGTATTGGGGACGTCTTCTGAAACGCGTACATGTGTTAAAGGATCTGATGTTATATCCTGATACCACTTTATATTTGAGTTGACACATTTTCTCACCTGTCAAAAGTATGAACGCTTAATGAACTCACCAGGGCTGTGAATGCCGTCACAGATGAACTCACCGGTGGAACAGTCCACCTTGCTGTTTGCTGTGGAACATTTCTCACTTCCCCAGGGGTCACAAATACCTGTAAAACGATTCAGGTCAAAAGGTGAGCTTGCTGACGTATTTTCGGTTGGTTTGTTTGTTGTTTAACGCTGCACTCAGTAACATTCCAGCTATATTCCATGTGTAAATAATAAAGTCTCGACCAGACAATCCAGTGATCAACAGCATCAGCATCAATCTAGTCTAGCATCAATCAGCCAAGTCAGCGGTCGTATCTGTTAGTTGCCTCTTACAACAAGCATGGTTTACTGAAAGCAAATTCGAACCCGGTTCTGCTTTAGCCACATCAGCACTATTGTGCAGCATGAGCATCGATTTGCGCATCACGATGACACGTGTCAACCAAGTCAGCGAGCCTGACCACTCGATCCCGTTAATCGCCTTTTGCGGCAAGCATGGGTTGCAGAAGATCAATTCTAACCCGGATCTTCACGGGTAAGTGTTTCGGAGACAGTGATACCAAGTGCCTCCAATGTGCACACTGCTACTGTAACTGAGCTTTCTCAGTCGGCTGTAGACATTGTTTTAATGGATACAATTGAAACAGGTGGGAAATAATGATCATGTACAATCAAACATGACTGACGTTGTGCCTGTTTGAGCTGCTATAGAGCTGATGGAACAGCATCATCCGTTTTCGCAAAGAAGTTCATGCTTTTAGGAATCAATATAGTATGCATCGCCATGACTTCAGGTAAAGCTGACAGTCTACCAAACCTCGAGGACGATACCACCCCAAACATGAAAAGAAAGAAAAGGGGAAGCAAAAGTAAAAGTATTTGCGTTGTTTTAGACATCCCTGCGTGCCTCTTATAATTTTTGATAAGGCCGCCGCTTGTGTAGATCTCTTACAACAGTATGTTTTGCTGACTAAAAGCCCTTAACTGGCTGCGCAAGGCAGCAGGTCAGATGTACGTACCAGGGTGGCTTAGCTTTTTAGTCTGTGCTGGAAATGACCCTTCTGTCCACGTGCAATTTGGATCACCTAACTCTTGGCCATTGGTCAAACCATCTCCGTCCGAGTCCAACATACACAGCTCTACCGTCCACTGGAAAGGTCAAGACACGCAGCTGTTAATATACCTTACAGGTCTCCTATACGAGTGTCAAGTAGTGTTATATACAGTACAACCAGAAATTATTGAGAATTTAAAGATTGTAATTTTTTATACTTTTTTCACTAATTACTCACGTATTAAATGTGAATATTAGCAGAACATAACTTCAGATTCAAAGACAGGTGAACAGTCAGCATTTTGTCAAGTCACCATGGGCAGCAATGCAGGCCTCAATGCGGCGGGGCATACTACTGATCAAAGAAGTGGTCCATGCTGTCCCAATATCGGACCACCTCTTCTTTCATTTCAGCAATATTTGTCAGATTTTTCTTATTGACACTTTCCTTCATAAGTCCCCAAACATTTTCTATTGGATTTAGGTCAGGGCTATAGCTTGGCCAATCTAATAATGTCATATGTTGGGTCCGAAACCAGGCCTGTGAATGCTTTGAACGATGTTTTGGGTCGTTGTCCTGCTGGAAAATCCAACAATTTCCATAGAACACGTGAGCAGATGGAAGTAAATGTCCCTCGAGAATATCTGTGCACCGCTCGCTGTTCATATTCCCTTCAAATACACAGAGGGGCGTTGCCCCTAACACAGATATGCCACCCGACACGTTAAATTTCGGACTGTACTTTGGGCGCTGATACAAAGGTTTTTCAGTTTGTTTGGTCCAGAATTTCGGTGTATTAAGAAACAGCTACACAGAACTTTCATCTGAAAACAATCACATTGTCCCAGTTAAAATGTCTATGCTGTAAGCACCAGTTCATCCTTCGCTCTTTTTGTTCAGGTTTCATGATCGGTGATGGAATTCCTTGACTTTTCTGCCAACCCATTGCATGCAGCTCAGTTCTAATTGTCTCCTTACAGACAGCCACAGTTCCTCTATCAATCATATCCAGCCTTAAGTTTTCTAAACTCCTTCGTTTGATTTTAGAAACAAGAATACCAGCCGCCTCCTGTCACTGACAGTCAATTTTCTGGGCCTACCTGCGCCTCCCTGGTGCTCAGTGCCATTTCCATTTGCAATATTTTTCAAAACACGATAAACAGTGGACAAAGGGATGCCTGTTCTACTTGAAATCACTTTAGCTGATCTGATGTCCTTGTTATAATACTCTAAATCAACTTCCTCTTCTCTAAATCATCCATACTGAGGATCACTGAAAATGTCGTCTGCTAGCAAGTAAACAAAGGGGGATCACTCTTCACAAACTAATGAAAAAGGATTAACGGAGTTGTCTCTCTTGAACGAAACCAAGCACTTGATAGCTGGTCAAGGTTGTTTATACTAGAAATCCAAATCAACATATTCCTAAAATTCTCAATAATTTCTGGTCATACTGCATATCCATTAAATTTACAAGTTGACGTCTTTGAGGGACACACAATATCATCCAATGCTTTAAACTAAAATTAAAGCGCACATTGCATGGGAATCCACGGAAGAGTTAGTCAATGAGTGAGTGAGTTTAGATTTACGCCACTTTTAGCAATTTGTTTCAGCTATATCACGACGGTGGACACAAAACATGGGTAACACACACTGTTCAGATCTGGGGTATTAATACCCAGGTTTTCAGAGTAACAAGCAGACGCTTTAACCACTAGTCTTCCCCGCCGCCCATAAATCTATTTAAAAGCATCATTCTCATGAGCGGGAGAAAGGACATGTTATCCAATCCGCCTGCTACTGTCCCATATCTCATCGTGGAATTCAGCCTATAGCCTCTTCGCTATACGTACGTGATTAGTGATTTCATTATTTTAAAAAGTAGTTCTACCGCTGTTAAATTTCATGGCGCTTTTTAGGCGCGAGACTAACCTTCGCATCAACATGCGGACACATTAATTAGTGATTTGAGTGCTAAAATGTCTATAAAACAAACCTGTTTATAACGTTCAAAGTGGATCCCGAATAGATTTCTCTTCCCTCCCCCCATTGCTCTCATATGGCCGACTCCTTTCCATATGTAGTTGGCTTTACATGGGTGGGGCACACTGTCACCGTTAGGTATCCTGTCTTGGTAGAAGCGGAACCCAGCACACGCCTGCACTATCACTATGATACAGACGCAACTGAAATAAAAGAGTGAGTTAAGTTTTACGCCGCCTTTAACAATGTTAAAGCAATATCACGGCGAAGACACCCGAAATGGGTGCACACATTGTACCCTTGTGGGGAATCGAACCCGTGTCTTCAGCGTGACGAGCAGACGCCTAAACTAGGGGTGGGTATTGCAAAGAATTTTCATATTGCGATATATTGCGATGCGAAAGCATGTATTGCGATATGAATTGCAATATATTGCATGAAGTATTTTTAAACAAAAACTACTTATAATTGAGTTACTTCTTGATTTATAGAGCAAAAACACAACAAAATCACTAAGCTTGATTAAGCTTTTATAACAACTTTTAATCATGATAAAATAAAAATGTGAATAATATTTGGCACAAATGAAACAAGGAAATATCCGAACATTTCCGAGTGTTACGAAGTTTTCGAAGTCAAAATACCGGTTTTCGATCAGCGTATCGCAAAACGTATCGTTTTCATGTCTGAACCGGTAAATACCGGTAAACCGGTTATATTGCGCAGCCCCAGCTTTAACCATTAGGATACCCAACCGCCCCCTGCAATAAAAGAAGCATAACATATCTGGAAGGGCAAGTTGCCAAGCTTTGGAAGAATATGGGTTACTACCTATTCAATTATTTCTACATATGGCTTTCATTGAGTGTGCTGTGATGGGTTGATTATGGGTCGCTTTGCATGAAGAAGTACGAGCATACTGGCAACGTCTTTCAACGTCGGATACGCGATGCGCAGTCAACCAGGTGACCGACCCTACATCCTTTTAGTCACCTCGTATGGCAAACATATCTATGGGTGAGTTGGGTGGTGAGTCACTCTACCTGCCGAGTAAAGCTGGTGAGGTCAATACACTTATCAAAAAGAGGGCATCCGTCGGGCGCAACTTTCGGATTCTTAACCCGACAGCTAACTGACCGAGATACGTCCACACAGTTAAACGATATGTGAATGTATCAAGTCATGCCTAAAATGTTACCGAAATAGACGGAAAGGGTTGATTAGGTTACACGAATGTAAGGGGTATGCATGTTGTCTGGTGGCTAACTACACGAGCTATTTAGCCCACTTGTGAACATTCCGTAACCTCGAGTTGGTCGATTGGTAGGTTGCTAGACTAACAACTAGTCTCTGAAATGAACATATTTTACTGAAAAAAGTTCATAGTAAAAAAAAAAAATAATATAATGAAAGGGAGCCCTGAGACTTTCTTCATTTTCAGAGAAAATCTAGACTTGCCACATTTTCTAGACTTGCGTGGGCTTTCTTGGATATATTTGCTTCAGGGTCTGTACGACAGACTAGTTGGTTGCTTAACGCTGCACTATCTCAGCAATATTCCAACTATATGGCGGCGGTCTGTAAATAATCGGGTCTGGACCAGACACTCAAGGGATCAACAGCATGAACATCGATCTACGCAATTGGTCTATAGGTGAGCTTGCTGAAGTATTTTCGGCTGGTTGGTTGATTTGTTGTTTAACGCTGCAATCAGCAACATTCCAGCTATATTCCAGTCTGTAAATAATAAAGTCTCGACCAGACAATCCAGGGATCAACAGCATGAGCATCGATCTACGCAATTGGGATACGATGACGTGTGTCAACCAAGTCAGCGAGCCTAACCACCCGATCCCGATAGTCGACCTTACGACAAACATGGGTTACTGAAGACCAATTCTAATCCGAATCTTCACGGGTCGTAACCTGTAAGATACTCAGAGGTGAAGAACCGGAGACTTTTCCAGGCGTCAGATGTCCATATCACATTTTAGTATCACTGACAGGGTTGTAATAATTCGGTGGGGAGATTACAGAATAGTGTGTGGGAGAATACAGTACAGATCAGAAAGATTGGGTAGACAGGGCCTCTAAAGTCACGACCGGCTTCTGAATCAACACGGAACAAATATAGCGAGTGAGAGTGTAATGGGTGGATGTTCCAGAAAGGGATTCGTCACTCTAATTTAACACTATAGAATTTCATTGATCACTTGATGTTTCTCTGTGAAGTATAATTATTATACATGCAAAGAAAATCTAAAAGCCATACGTTACAGGCTTTCTCGTGGAGGCATCGACGTTTGCGCTCCATTCTATGGAATCCTAGAAGGGACATTGTCGCGTTGTCGCCCTCTCAAAAACAAGAAAAAAAAGAGGCAATATTAACCAAAGCGCGACAATGCGCCATATTCATTGTGTCGCGTTGTCGCGCATTTTTAGACTCTTTTTTTATACATCGCTATGTCCAAGTCAAAACATTAATTACACAACAGTCTCGTTTCCTGATGACTGGGTTCCGTCCTATTATTATTTGATACATCTAAGCACTTGTATATTGCAACACTACGCTCCTCATAATCCTTGCAAACGTGTCGTGCAGCGTGCTGTTGTACAATCAATCGAAACACAGGGAAAAGAAACACTTTTGTGAAAGGTGCCTTCACGGGTTTTCTAGGGCTGATCTGCTTGATTCGCACAGGGTTGATTGCCTAGGTGTGGGGGAGACAGCCGTACGAATAGATATGCCGAGAGAAAAAAACAACATCTTGAAATTTATCAACCACAAAAAATCAAATGCCAGTAACATATATTATCTACGCCGACTTCGAAGCTATCATTAAACCAATAGATACAGTTGCTCAATCCACTAATCAAAGTTTCACACAAAAAGTACAAGAGCACGAAGCGTGTAGGTTCGGGTATGTGGTCGTTCGTTGTGAAGGTCAAACTAACCCTCCAGTTATTTATAGAGGACCAGACGCGGCTGAAGAATTTCTAAAGCGTTTACAACACGAAGAGAAAATGATTATTAAAAAACTATGTAACAAAACACCAATGCGTATGACCCAAGCAGACCGGGTAGCCCACAACAAAAGCACACGTTGTCATGTGTGCTGTAAACCTCTGAATGGTGATTCAGTTAGAGATCACTGTGACATTACTGGTAAATACAGAGATGCGGCTCACAATGAATGTAACTTGAAGCTAAGAATAAATCCTAAACTTATTTATACTTGTGGTGTTTCACAATCTTCGCGGGTATGATTCACACTTGATTATGCAAGCTATTGCAAAGGTAAAAGGCAACATATCCTGTATCCCAAACAATATGGAAAGATATATATCCTTTTCGCTAAATGGGTTGAGATTCATAGATAGTGTTCAGTTTCTGTTGTCGTCTCTAGACAGCTTGGTCAAGGCTAATAACCCGAATGACTTAGCTGTAACTAATCGTTACACAGAAGAAACTCGAGCTTTGCTGTTACGTAAGGGTATCTACCCATATGAATACATGGATGACTGGTCTAAGTTTAATGAGACACAGTTACCTCCTATTGACCGCTTCTATAGCAAGCTGTCTGACGCGTCTATCACACAAGACGATTACGAACACGCGAAAAAAGTATGGGAAAACCGGGTTGTCATAATCTAGGTGATTATCACGATTTGTATTTGAAAACAGATGTGTTATTGCTGGCTGATGTTTTCGAGATATTGAGAGAAACGTGTTCGAAGCATTATGGGTTGGACCCGGCATGGTATTATTCAAGTCCTGGGCTCTCGTGGGATGCCCTACTGAAGAAAACCGGTGTTAAATTAGAATTATTCGCCGATTACGATATGCATCTGTTTATAGAGAAAGGGTTACGCGGTGGTATTTCTATGGTATCAAAACGTTATGCCAAAGCTAACAACGAGTATGTGTAAAGGCTACAACCCTAAACTATCTACTATACCTCGATGCCAACAACCTGTACGGCTGGGCCATGAGCCAGTATCTACCTACCTGTGGTTTCAAGTGGACATCTGAGATTGATGATGTTATGAGCATCGCACCGGATTCTAACAAGGGTTATATACTCGAAGTGGATTTAAAATATCCGGAGGATTTACACACCTCACACAACAGTTATCCCCTGGCTCCAGAGCGTTTGAAGGTGAATATGCTATGTAAATTGTCAGCTTCTGGCAAGGGTGCATTAGTCTTGGACCTCCACGTCAATTCACCAACGCAAGCTGACGACATCACTCTCTTGAGTCCCCTCACATCCAACCTACAAGATCTTGTGCACATGTGTGTGAGGACTACACCGCAAGATGGAGGTTTAGCTTATCCCCGTCCAAGAGTGGCGCTCTAACCTTCACAGACAAGAAAGCAATGCATCATCTTCAGCTTAAGCCTATTCCCAACCTTGAGTCCATCAAACATGTTGGAATCGAACTCCAGAAGAATTTCAACTCGTGGGATCGCTCAATCAAAGCCTGCTCCAAACTGAAAGCCGCAATGATGTCTGTGCTAAAGTCTGGTTGCCATGGTGACGCCCTGAATCCTATCACTAGCTCTAAAATACTGCAAACAATCTGTCTTCCAAAAGCGTGTTACGGATGCGAACTCTGGTCCTGCCTCACCAAAAGTGAAATATTGGCCCTTGAAAGAGCACACGTTTCTGCATTTAAGTGATTCAAGATCTCCCCAAATCAACCAGGACTGACGTGTGTAATGCTCTGCTAGGATGGTTACCCATAGAAGCCCACATCAACAAAAGCAAACTCTTGTTCTTTGGAAGGCTGTGCCACACCTCTTCCAGGAATACAAGCTACAAGCTACAAGCTACTTATGACACGAATCTTTGCCTTGAGAAACAACTGTGTGGTTGACCCAGGCGGATTTATCTCAGACATACTTCGTATCCTAACAAAGTATAACTTGTGTGACTATCTGAAAGAAGTGTACTGCTCTGGACGTCTCTGCCAATACACACGATGGAAGCAGATTGTCAAGAAGGTAATCTTTCATACTGAAACTGTAGCATGGCACCAACGTGTCGACGCCGACCCTGAAATGAGACATTTCTTGAAAATCCATCCTGTGCTGGCCCCACACAGAGCCTGGTTCATTGCCCGACAATTCCCACATCTTAAACAGCAATGCAAATTTGTGGTCAAGCTATGTGCATCATGGCGCCCAGGAGGTGCACAA